TTATACCTTTCAAAATTTCCGTACCATTTTAGAGAAAAACTTAAAAAATACGATTATAAAAACATTTCGTTTTCTTTTATTACTAGCCATTAGGTAGGTACTAGTTTTGGTGAGATGTTTGTTATAATGACCCTGTATTTAAGTAACAGGTAACGACCAACAACTCCATAACACTACTTTTTGTAATCAACACTGGGTATATTATGTTATTACCATAGAAACGTGTTTTAACTTTTTGGAATGCAAGCATGTTTTCATGTGTTTTTGTAGTTTTGTCTGAAACGGAAGGGAAATTTTGAAAGGTATAAACGGGAATAGCCACTTTAGAACATGCACAAAACTTTCCCTCTTGTAAAGCCGATCTGGGGACATTACAGTATAACCCAGAAATCTATCTACTCCAGTATACGTTTTTCGGATCTGACTTTCAATAACATCCTCAATTGGAATAAACGCAATCGAAACATACGCCAATTTCAGTCGAAATTTCAAATACCGCTTCGTAACACTCGCCAAAAGTTATTAACCTTAGATTTGCTAGACTTGCAGTTTGCAAATTTGAAAATCATCTTTGGTTCGATTTTAAGAGTAGCGATTGAAAGTTTTCCATAGGAACAGTTTTCACCACATTTTGAAATGAATAATTTTATTATAGAAAAAAATGTTATAAACGAGAAGGATTGGAGTGTAAAGTGCATTTTTCTGTTCAATCATTTTAAATAGAAATATTTCGTTTTATAAATAACCAGTTCTACCACATTATTGTTTGTATTTTCATTCAATTTTAAAGCTCCCACTGCCATCTAGTGCATACGAAGTTAACGACTTTATAAAATTCTACGTTAATCCATACCATTCTTGCAACAATAGTCGTGAGATGGCAAAATAATTCACAAAACTACATTTTATAATAATTTAATTTTAATTAGTTTATAAATATGAGTTGAACTTGAAAGCAAATGTTTTGCAATGTTACGTCTCGTCGTAGGTAACGTTTCATGGAGTTCTACGTTCAACCTACCCTTAAAACGTAATGCATATTTTCCGAAAATAATAGAGATAGCGAAGCGTTTAAAATAAAGCGCAGTAGTATCTGCGATGATAACAATAATTCTTCACATACACAACATTAATAATTGCTTACCTGAACTTGGACAGTTGCTACTTTTTTTGATAAGATCAATGAAGTAGGGATCTCTACCCGGGAACCCTATATAACATAAATTGTTGTTTGAGCGGAGCGAAATTGGATTTGGAACAGAAGATGGAGGATAAACTCTTTAAGTTTTGTATGTGAATTATGTTCGAAATTGTAAGAGGAAAAATGGACAGTGATGAAATATTAATCCTGTGGGAAGCTGTAAGGCATATGGGGCGCAAGCGTGCTTATCGTTCTGCAATCTATGGTTATGAATTTAAGATGTGCACGTGTAACGCGCCTTTTCGTATTTTGATTTATGGTTATGGTTCTTCCTAGTTCCTACTTTCGCTCATCTTGGTTAAGCATACGAGGGTGATATTTCTTAACAAAGAGAGAAATGGGCAGGGTACTTCACGAAAATGTGTTAAGTTTTCGTTTTACGGCTGGAGTAAGGTCTCTTGTGAATAAAAGCCCTCGTCTAACCCAACAGCTGGCTATAACTCTCTACAGTGGGTAACTAGCACTGCGGAACTAATTTTAAATAATTACCCAGAAAGGTACAGTTGCTTTCGTTGCGCACCTACTCGTTCAGTTTCCCAACTGACACCTACCCTAGTACTTTGTGTAAGGAATTCTGGCACTTACCTTGCAATAAGTTAATTGAAATCCGTACGTAACTCCCAGTTGTTAATTTATGTGCTGCACCACCCTTACAAAATTATCGCCCTTTTTTATTTATTTGTAACACTGTAATTGTAGTGTGCCGCATACGTTACACAAATACATCAGTAACATCGGATAATCCAAGATTAAAAACATAAAAATTAAAAATAAACGAAAAGTTCAACAAATGACGTATATGAAAATTAGAGCCGTGGGTCAAGAGCATCTTAAATTAAGCTTCATTTAGGTTAATTTCGATTAATTACTATAGCAATAAAACAACGTTAATACTTAATACTTTACTCTCCTTTTGGTGCCATAACCACTTATACAGTCCGTGTGTTTACTTCAATAGCACAAATTTTATGTGCTTGAATTTTTTATTATTTCATCTAATTAAATGGCTTATTGGGATGTAAATCCCCATTCATCGATTTAATGTAATGGTCGCATCGCACTTATAAGTTATAACTAACGTCATTTTGATTTCAATCACAAACCCACTACACTTTCCAATATCTCGGTCATACATTTTGGCACTTATTGGGTTAGGTATATTATTTTTTATCAACCAATAACAAACCAAATTTCTTTACTGTTGACATACTACAATATAATTCTGTTTAATACAATCCTAATTCCCCAGTGCTCATCAAATGGATCTAAAGTGGTTAAATTTACAGTTCCAAGCATGTTTGTAAATATAAAAGTTCGTATTTTCTTGATAGTCAAATTGCGTTGGAGAGAGCACGGCAAAAACTTTGCAAAATGTCCCTAGGCTAGGACAATACTGATGATTAGAATTTTTTGTGCTCCTTAAACTGAATTTCGGTTTAAATTCGGTTTAATATATTAAAACCTCGAACGCGTCTCGACAGCAAGGCTGTCATCATCAGCAAACATCTGAACAATAAAATCGTCCCAATCCCCAAAATAAAATAGCAGGAAACCCGTTTCAATTCTTATGAGATTGGTCCTCTGAGAGCCCATAGACTTGCATTTTGTCAAGATTTTAAAGGTAGAGAAAGCTATCAACCTGAGCTTTTCTGAAATCTTAGATAAACGAGATCTGAACCTATTGACATTCCCTTCACAAAGTGTTAAATTTTTAGAAAATATAGGAATTGGGGGTTTTCGAACTATATACAGCAATGGACGTTCGCCCTTTTCCATCGTTCGAAAACATGCACTTTGTAAAGTTGAGCTTTTTTCTTAGCTTTAATGGAAGAACACGAGACCAAACCAGCCGATAGTGTTAAATATCTAGAAGCTGAAAAACTCCCAAAAAGTGGTACGCGAAGACCGAGACTGAAGATGAGCACAAAGTCTATTGAGATTTTCTTAGAAAAATGAGGAATTGTCGTTTTGCAACCTCAATACAAGATCTAATATGTAGATAAAGTTCGTCCTTTACAATTTTTGAGAAATTAACCTTTAAGAGGTCAAAGACGAGCGCTTTCTCCATATTTTAAAGGAAGAAATGTGTAAACTTGAACTTTTCTGAAATATTTGATAAACGAGAATTGTGCATATATTCCCCTTTTAAATCCTTATAAAATTGAAGAAATTCGGTTATACGACCTCAAGTCATGTAGATTAGTCGTCCTTTTCATTGAGCCTCTATGAGCTCGAAAACACGCTCTTTGTTAAGATTTTAAGGATGCAAAAATCTAGATAAACTGGAGCTGAGCAATTTTTGAGCAATTGCGTAGAACTCGACTACCAGATTTTTAAACGTAGACAGCTTATAACCTAATAAATCTGAGCTGTTTTATTAACATATTTGATAAACGGGATCTGGACCTATTGATAACATGAAATTGAGGAATTGTAGTTTTGTGAACTCGCTGATACAACAATATCTACTATCGGATCATGCACCTCTTCCATTGGCCCCATTAGAAAACTTTAAACCCCTAAAAATTAAGGAATTGTAGTTTTGCGACTTTAATACTACAATATGTAGACAATTCACCTTTTGAAATTCAATATTAGGCAAAAGGGTATTATATTTTTTCGCAACAATAAATGAAATCTTTCCCTTGAATATTATTATTGTTGACACATGTGATTCAAAACGCTTTTTTCCTATAGAGAGGGATCTTTTCCGAAGTTATTCTTTCAAAAATGCGTTTGAAATTACTGAAGAAGTGAGGGGCCAACGTTTGTAGAAGGGCCGTTAATATCTTCGGTTATGTACACTGATGTCGTACGGGCGTTTTGATTGCTACAACGGAAGGCTTGAACAGGAAATTTTACAATTTCCAAGTTTTGATCTTACAATGGGCAGTTGAAAATTATATAAAAATGTCTAGGTAAGTTTTGCACACATAAATTTTCGACGTTACTAATTGAATTTATTTATAGGAAAAGTTGAAATGCGGTACTTCTTTCGTACAGTCGACTGTTACTGCTGTACCATTTATATGTCATTTAGATCATTCCTTTCCTTTTCGAAAAAACATGAGCTCATGGAAACTTTCGCATCATATTAGTGTAGCCATTCATTTTATTGTCAAAAATATTTACGCATCAGTCACAAATTCTTACTTTATATATTTAGCAACAAATATTTATCTTTATCCGAGTTATCTGTGTGCATAACTTAGTGCTTTTTTTATATTTGCAAAACAAAAATCTTATTTTATTGAGAAAGAAGAATATAGAGAGAAACTTTATTTACTAATAAATGCCTGCTTCTTATGGTATAACAAGTTGCTTATTTTAAGACACAGGAGTATAAATGATTATTATCTAATGATATTTACCGAATTTAGAATAACGCACTTTACAATTTTTTCTAGAATTTATGATAGTTTAAGCGAAACAAAACGAAAACTAATTAGCGTGTATCGTCATCATAACAAGTTCGCCAAATATGGCGAAATCGTTCTGGCAAATTCGGAACGCATCCTACATACAACCTATTTTGTGCTCTCTAAATCCTTCTGCAATTATATTAGACATAAATCCGTTAACCAAAAAGATTCACATTTCTAATCCATTATTGCATTAGTATTACCACAGATCTATCTGTGCTATTACTATAGTTCACTCAGATGTTGTCATGAAAATAGCTAGAAATTCAGGAAATTTAGGTAAATAATGTACAACCCCAACGTGCCCCTTAAAATGGCAGTACATTAAGAACGGCCACATTGCAATCAAATATATTTTACAATTTGTTGCTAATTTATCTACCAAAATGGTTTGTACACCATCACCCATTTGTGACGAAGAAAACTAGCAGGGAATAGGAAACCCAGCACTACGGCTCCAGCTGCTCTCGGTGGTAGGGGTGGTTCGACGATCCTGAAAGAAATACCTATAAATGCTCCGAAAATTTAGGCGCCACTAATTTTTCGATAGTTCCAAGCCATACAGGAAAAAAAATTAGAAACCTGCTCCTGTTGGTCTGGAATTGCAGGGGTAAAACTAAAAAAAAAGAAATAGAGAAAGATAGCGGGAAAGAAAAGGTATTTATTCTTCAAGGAAATCAAGAATTTAACAAAGATATTGTAGGGCGAATGATGATGATTGATAATGGTACGGAATGATAACAGGGAAGAAAAACGGCAAAAAAAGAAAACGGTACGAGATCTCGTCTCACAGCAAAACAATAAAATTTGACTCAATTACTTATTAAGATGTAGGGTGACTGAATTAATGTGATGGGTTTTTTTTTTCTAAATAAACTTAACGGTTTTTTTTTAGGTAAATAGATAACTTGAACTTAGCTGTTCTGGCTCCTGAAGTTGTCCAGCAGTTGTTCGGCGGACTTGGCGGTGGTAGACCAGTGGCTAAGTACGGGGTAGATTAAGGATAGGGATGCGGGTAGAAAGGAACGAGGAAAAGAAATTTGAGGGTATCGAAAGAAGATTGAAGACTGAAGACGGCGACTGTAGATTGAAGACGGACGACTGAAGATTGAAGACGGACGACTGTAGACTGAAGATGGACGAAGACGAAGATTTCTTAGTAGTAGATAGGTACGTATAACAAGTATAGACACGAAATAACTAAAACTACAAGGCCCTATAACAAAAACCTAACATTACGAGCTACAACTATCACAAAAAGGCTACTTACGAGATGGTGTGGGCCTTAACGTAGAGACAATATATAGATATGTATGTAGGCTCAATTAAATTGGTGGACGGTGAAATAAAGCTCGGGTCCTAAGAGACAACGAAGAAATAGAAAAGGATACAGACAACAAAAATACTTACACAAGGGTTGAAATCCGGCGAGCAAGGGTAACATATATAATATATTGGTTGTACATAACTTCACAAACACAAATGCGCTTCCTCTTCCACTCTTAATTCCCAAAATAGGGTTTCCAAGGAAGAAATACCAATTCCTGGTAATGAGTGGAGACTATAGGAATAGGACGAGGGTAGAAATCCCAAAATTGTCGGATGAAAGCGGCTGCAAAAATTCCGCACCTCACAAGCACACCATACAATTGACAATTGACCAAAAACGGAAACGAAACGTAGAAGAATTTGAAAAAAACGAACAGTAATACTTGATAATACGATGCAGCATTTTCACCATATTGAGAACTAATCCAAGCGGTTTGTATTTATTTAAGTTTTTCGAAATTTTTGGATAATATAGATACTCCTCCACAGGGGCGTGGCAAGGTAAAATTGCGCCTAGTGCAAAGTTTGTCCGAAGCGCCTTTTTTAATAATAATAATAATAATAATAATAACAATAATAATGTGGTCTTTGCATTTTTTTTTATTATAAATAATACTGCACTTCTTAAATATATAAATACAATTACAAATCGTTGACCCTCGAGCCTGTACGCTGTACGGCTGTTGCTTAGCTTGCTTTTATTTATTTCTCTTATTCACTATACTTATTTTACAATTATTATATTACTTATAACTTATTTACGATCAATCCTGACTCAAGTGCCTTAAAATTGCAAAATAAAAACTTTGTAAATTACTTTTGTATAATTTTTATTTTAAAAAATCTTAGGACTTTTTGGCGCCTAGCAAAATTTGGCGCCTAGGGCACTTGGCCGGTTGCCCTACTGGATGCCACGGCCCTGCTCCTCCAGTACATAAATTACCGTTTATAAAGCAAACCAGACAGATGCATTCATTCCAGGATTTGGTTAAATAAGGTATGTAATATGTATAGGTAACAACCGTTCAAAAAATTTATACAGAGTGCTCACGAATTCATGTCACATTTAACGGTTTTGAGAATGCGTAAACATTTTTTTAGTAATACTCCCAGTTTTGTAGAAAGTGGGACAAAATACTCTGTATAATTTTTGGCAATTTTGAAAATAATGGATCTGTAGCGGACGAAATTTCCGGTATTAACTTCTAGTAATTACGTTGCACAAATGTGCATAAAACGCTGAACCGACAAGTAGTTTAAATATTAAGGGTCTATTCTTTAACCGACAAGGGTGTTATTTACGAGTTAAGGAATAGAAGCTTTCATATAATTCATGACTTCCTGGGAGTCATCCGAAATGTACTTTGTTGCACATGTGTTACACAATCGGTAGTTTCGAACAGTAGGTCCACAGCACTTGTTAAGATAAGTCGAGTTCGGTTCAGCGATTCTTAAGATTCATTTTTGATTCTAAAATAAATTATATTTTAGTTGTATTTATTTTACTTTCACCCGTATCCACAACACCTACCACAGGTCTATCTAAATCTAAAAGTTTGAATGGAAAACCTCCGTCAATATGAAACATGAAATGATGTATTAGAGGTAGATGTTTATTAATGAACTTTTGTTTGTTGTGTTGTCAAATTCTGAAAAATTACATAAAAATACAACGGACAGCTCAACAGACGTATGATATGCGTTTATACGCTACTTCTAATCTATGTAAAGAGAAAATTACGGTGATAGACGTTTACTAATCATCGCATAAAATCTGTCGTTATCTCTCGGTCTATTTGTCGTCCGCCGAACCTGTTGAAAGTTTCCATTTTCAGAGACAAGGGGGTTCTCTCCCTGTTTTCTTTTGAAATGAAGACAAATTCCCAAAATAAATTGTTTACCTACACTCTCTGTGTCGAAAATATGTATTACCTACTCTGTTTTCAGTTTTGTAGAATATTGTTGTGTGTTTTTAAAATACCGCAACCAAATGAAGATACAGTTGCCATTGAATCACTTTTAGGTACCTAGTTCACGTATCTTCTTCATTCATTAAATAAAAATTCCAAAGGTACCTAATTCAATACTCCGTAATTTGAATATGGCGATTGCAAATAATCATTTACCTATTATATTCTTGGAATTTGAACTACATTCGTAGCAAAGAAAGATTCTTTATACAATGGTGGTGCCAACGATTAGGAAGTACATAATAAATTATGAAATATTTTTGTGTCCAGTATGTTGCGATGGACTCACCATTTTAGGGAGTGTGATCTTGCATTTCTATTTTACTACCATCTCTTTCATTTCGTACGTTTTACGTACTTCGCCCTTATTTTATTTCGTACGATTTACGGTTGATCAATTGGAGCCGAGTTAAACTGTAGGTGGGCCATCCTGACTGCAACCTGTGTTAGATCTTAGATAGAATACCTATTCTGCAAATTTGAAGCTCCAAGAAAGGTAGTAAACGCTTACCTTTTTTTCGCAGTTTGCACTCTTATTATGGCGAGTTTCTCTAATACAGGAATTTGCATTGGGGTAGTTGATATTTGTAACCTTTTTGCTTCAATTCTTAATTTTTTATTTTTCCGACAGCACTGAGAGAAAATTCCCAGTATTCGGACTTAAGTCACCTTCCGTAACACAGAGAAAAAATAATACGATCTGATTTATAAATACTCTCATTGTCGGAATGTATTTCATAATTTCATATTCAACTGAATCTTTTATCTTTTAAGATAACGTTGTCCACACAAAAATTTCCAATACAATTGATCAGAAAAGCAATGGATTTGACATTTATATCTCCTGTACACCAAGAGGTAACAGTTGAAATGTTTGTGGGGCCATTGTCCAGTGTGGAAATATAGTCTACTGTCGATTTTTGCGCTTAATCGACTAAGTTGATGCATAATAAATTCTTTTGTCAGGTGCCAATTTGCAGGATTTCAAAATAAGTTAAAAAATTATGTATCAAATTCAAAAACGCAAATTTGTTGTCACGTGTTAACAATAAACAAAGGACGTCACAAAAGAAAGTAGATAAATTTCTCCCATCTCTAGCATCCAATAAACACACGAACACGAATAGCATCGTTTCATTTCCCTGCTTTCTGCGTATCTCATCGCGCGCTCGTACTGTAAACCAGTGCAGTGCGGTACGTGAGAGCAGCGACTCGTCATGCGGGACAGTAAAATGGCAGAATTAAAATTTGAGGCGCCCCTTGCACAATTCGAAGAGTCCGACGAACGGGGTACGAATGAATTCCATACCGCAAATTTAATAAACGAGAACGAGTTAAACAACATTAATTTAAAAAAGAAATTAATAGATAACGATCTAAATGATGTGCTAAACGATTTTAATGAAGATATCTTGCTAAATGATAATTCAAAATCAAATATTATGCCACCTAAAAGTTTAATTTTAAACGGAGACACCGCGTCAGTTGCTGACAATTTCACAGAGACATTTTCTGGATCATTAGAAGATTTAGTTAATACTTTCGATGAGAAAATCACCAAGTGTTTTGGAAATTACGAAGAGTCAGTTGAGAAACTAGCACCAGTGCAAGTTAGGACACAGGAAGAAATTATGAATGAATGCCAGTAAGTTTTCTATTTAAAATAGCAGTTTGCGGTAAGGTCAAAATTGCGATAACATTTCCTTTGCCAAAGAAATGTGGGCAGAAATCTGACGCACAATTGCGCTAATTTTACATTGTTACACATCGCGGTTCCTACTAAAATTAATGTAAACTAATGACATGCAGTCAATTTATTGATTCCTTTTTAAAGTAATAATAAAAACATAACAATGCCGTATTTGGGTTCGCAGAATCTGAGCGCATGTGCGGTTTTTAAGGGTGAAACACAAGGTTATAGCATGGTAGCGAAAATCAATACCGTAAGGGTGTTTCCCCTTAGCCCCCTAAAGTGAATCCGCTGTTCGAACAGGTTTTCGAGTTACAGAAACTGATCTTTGGGTTGGTGACGTAGGTTCGACCATTTGAAGTGGATGATGTTGTAAACAAGCATTTATCTTGACCTACTGTGTTTGCTATTTTAATCGTCTCATTTGCATTATCAACGCAAAGGACGCACACGCCAAGATTTAAAATTAAATGAAATCTAAAAACCGCATTTGCATAATTTGAACTTGATTTGTTTATCACCTTACCTAACACACACTTCCGCACCTGTTCAACATCTAAATCTAAAGGCCAGGCTACTGATCGGGTGCAAATATTTATCACCGTCCAGGCCCACTTGTTTTGAGAATTTGGAAACAAAGGCTCATGATCTAACAGTTGCCTTAAATTTTGTTCAATTTACTTATACCCTCTATCCGCCCCCTCATTTGAAAGTGCTTGAATAATTCATGATTAGTTCCTTTTGAAACTGAAACACAATTTAATCTAACGCCGAATTGAAAAGCGTCCCATAACTAATTTGCATGCAATGACCTAAGGCTCAAATTAAAAACCGAGAGAATGGCGCCTAGAAACATTATTCAAGCGTCGCGACGTTCGTATATGGTCGATAACTTCCAGGTACGATTATTTCACCCTCTACAAACTCAAGCACTCGATACTAATTAAGAGTCGAGTCGAATGAATCGCAACATTATTTTAAAATTCATATGTGACATCCTGCGAATTTCTAAGAAGTGTTTGCAGTTTCCTTTCACTTTCCATCTTCAATTTCCTAATTCCAATTAAAGTGAAACGCTGGACGTGATTTTGTTTATAATACGCACAATTACTGGCGCACACATAATTACAATCCGAAAGAATGGAGAAATTAATCACACCGACGACGTATTTACATATTAAACATGTATTTGCAGTCAGTGAACCTATTGACTTTTTGACGTTTACAAGAGGAAAAATAAATTAGAAAGGTTGCTCGACTGGAATTTCTCATTTACCTAACCATTGTGCCCTAAATCTATGTTTATACTTAACGCACGCATGCCTTCCACATCAAATTGATGTTTGTAATTACTTTTAGTGTATTGATTAGTTGTTTGCTTCTAACTAAACAAACTTTGGGAATAAATTTTGAAGGCGATTAACATAAAGCTGTAATATTAATTAGTAAGTATAAGACACGTGCTAAAGATAGCTACGGATAATTCCTTAAAGCTCACCAAAACGTTATGGTTCCCATCAGTTCGAGATCGCGTTACAGCCTAAGTAGCTCATCACGTAATACTATTTTTAGTCCCCAATGTGCAGATAAACTAATTTAAGAAATAATTTAATACCCTATTCTTGGAGGGCGAAAAGTTATTTATAAAACCATATAGTAAGTTACCGATTACAAAAACGGTTGAATTCAGTAAGCCATAAACGATGTAATTTTTTTCAAACGTAAGTGTGCTAAATATTCAAGAATAAACGGCAGCAATGCTTGGGGTTTTAAGATTTTCTCGAGCTTTTCCTTTGTCACAGACGCGAGTATAGGACAAGTCGAGGAACAAGCTTAATTTTAATTATGTGAGAAACTAACTGTACTGCGAAAAGTACCTATCTTACTTTCTACATGCAATCTTTTTTTCGAAATTTTATTCTGGTCCTGATGTGGAAGTCTTGATCCGTTTTCGAAAATTTGCAATAGTGCGTATAAGTTATAAATCACTTGAATAGATGCTCGAAAAGAATATCGTCGTTATAGAAAACAATCTGCACGGGTAAGACCTTTTGTTTCTGGTTGTAGATATACCACAATATTGCATTTTCCACGGATTTCGGGTTAGAAAATGCTTTCGAACACATGAAATCGGATACTAATTTGTCCATTACTATTATTTATTTTATTTTATTTTCCGACGAAGGTTAGGAGAAAAGTGGCGACTTTTGATTATCGGCTCCCCTATGCATTGCCATTTATTAAAAATTCATTCTCGCATTTATTTTAGAATTCGCTAATGTGTACATAGGACCATTAATGGATTTAAAAATGCGTTTGTAATGGAATTAATGTCTGTTTAATGCAGATCAGGTCCCATCAATGCAGTTAATAAAAATTTGATGTTATTTTAATGCATTTAATTTAAATTTAATGCCTTTAATGTGTATATGTAGTATAGGGCATATATTATTATATAGTTATATATAGTATAAGTTCTGTGGCTTGAAGCTAAAAGGGCCAATGTCAAAATCTTCACATTTGAGAAAATTGCAGTTGAAGTTTTTGTCTAAAATACTTTTAACTACAGCTTAAGTTGTGTCCAAGCTTCACTTACCAACTTTGGCTCAGCATTTAATATGCTTCAGCAGAATATGATGGTGTTTTTAGTTTTTTGAAAAATTCAAGCATTTTGAAAAAAAAATGACTTTGGCCCTTGTTGCACAAAATTTATGGTTTTTTTATGTTTTTTTTTGTCACATTGGCCGTCATAACAAGAAGAAATTTTGCTTGTCCTTGGATTCATATTCATTACCTTTAATCAAAACACTAACACTTTAAAACTGGAATTACACATACAACAAACTAGTCAAAGTGATTAATACAATGACGGCCAATGTCGCTGGTGTCACTAGAATACATTTGTATCAGTTGGAGCTAGAAGGGCCAATGTAGACATTGGCCTACATTGGCCTGCTGTATATTTCACAAAATAATATCAGTTGTCACTAAAACGGCCAAAGTTTACTTTGGCCCCTTTAGCAGAAGATGATTGAATAAATTCATAATGACATTGGCTACTAATACATTCTATTTACCGGCTATTGGTTGAATTTGACATTGGCCGTTTTAGCATATGCAAGAGTGCAAGACAATAAACGTAATGCAGGGGTTAACTCAAAACAGCAAAATATTGACATTGGCCCTTTTAGCTTCAAGCCACAGAGTTAAGGTTGGCATGGTGGCAATTTTAAGGCAATGAAGGAAATCTTTGTCCTCTAAAATAAGAAAGGGGAATTCTTCTCGCTCATATAGGAAATTCCAAGGAAACTTGTAGGAAATGGACGAAATTAGAGGAAATTCTTGTGAAATATTGGTAAATTTGGGGGAAATAAGAGGAAATTCAGAAGAAAACTCTAGAGGAAATTCTAAGGAAATGTAGAGGAAATTAAGGGAAATGGTGAGTGGCCATTTTTTAGGCAATAAAGAAAATCTTTGTCCCCTGAAGTACCTAAGTCCGTAAGTCGTGCGACCAACCCCTCGATCCTGGCCTGACATATGGCTATGATTATTATAGATCGAATTAGAGCCGCCTTCCCTTCCAGCGTCCTAAGCCACCATTTCACGTATGGGACAGCTTGAATGAAGTCGGACGACCCTAGTCAGGGAGGTAGTACAAAGAGTCCGAATTTGAGGTCTATAAGTATACGCGTGGAACCTGTCCACCCTTCTATCGTAATCCAGAATGCAGATTATAAGAAACAACTTTTTTGGTTAAACAGCTTACATATTTTGGGTTTACATGTAAGCAGCTATTCATATCGATTTAAAAAAATAATTAACCCAGTCCAGATTTCTGGTATGAGGAACAACTTTTATGGAAAAACTGCTTAGATATTTTAGAACATTGATTATGTTAGTTATAATAAAAATTCAATTTTAATAATCCTTGGCGGCTAACGAGCATAAAATCCAGCTTTTGAGTATGACGGATAACTTGTTTTCAAAAACACTAACTTTCTTAATTATGAATCAATTTCGACCAAACTTTAAGGATTTGTGTAGATAATAAATATCTCGGCTAATTCCACCATATTGGAACAAAATGGCGGAAATAAATCTACCTACACCTCGGCAGAGCCGCGAAAGTGATTTTTCATTGTGTCGAGCAACTGAATTATCGTAATACAAATGGCCCTAAACCGTTTAACCAAAAAAGTTTTGTCATATTCGAAATCCCTTTCGGCTAATACAATGAGTTCAAATTCAAATAAATCGAATCGAAGTTATTGAAATTTAACTCCACCAATAAAAACGTCCGAATGACGTAGTTTACATAATAATATGTATCTACATGACTGCTTCATGACGCTTTATTATTTGGTAAGGTCACAAGTGACAAGCTTCTAAAAATCTATGAAACGGAAAAAGATTTTTGATGGTCAAATTGAATCGCCCTGCCGCCCCTAATTTTTCAAGATAAAGCACATAGGAGTATGAGCATTTTACTTTCAAATTTTCCTATTTTTACGATAAGATCGTTTCAATATAAGTATGTATACGTATAATCTCGCGTATAACAAACCATTTAAAATTATAGGGAATATTTCGTTTTTCTCTATTTAGAGATAGGTACATTTTAACTCGCATTTTAATATTAAATCCAAGTGTCTAAATATTGCAGTGTTACGGCAATTTTATTGCTTGGTTTGATCCTCAATCAAAATTATTAACAACAAAAGATATTACAGTAACAGCTCAGTTAATATTAATAATAGGCTGGTAAAAGTAAATGTCCTTATTAAATAGGTAATGTAGGCTCATTTAATGCAGTTTAGTCGATTTAATGCAATAATTTATATCAGTTTAATGCAATCAATGTTTAATGCGGTGTACACAATTTACTTTGGTTGTTTCTCCCTCGACTGCACTGAAATGAAATGGATTTTGAGTATTGGTGAGTGTTTCAAAACTAT